GTCGGTCATATACAACGCAATCTTATGCTTCATTGCGTTTTCAACGCAGGACAGAGGTATATTAGTAGAAGTGCCTAATTCACAAGTTTTTCCGAGTCGGCTACAGTGGTTGCTTTGAATGGCTCTGAAGGAACAAGCTGCAACCAGTGCTCCTCTGTAACTTCAATAATACACATTTCAAAGCCGCAACGGCCCAGCCATCTAACTGCTTTCTCAGGCAATACTCAGCGCAGAAAAAACTACACAAGTTCCATTCTACTAGGCATGAATTTCACCTGATCTCCTGGTTGTAGCTCTCGCACGACTGACAACAGGAACACCAGGGGGTTTTTTGTTTGGTGGTTTGTTTGTTCGTTCGTTTGGGTTTGGTTTTTTTTTTGTGGAAACCTTTCTCCCCCCAGTCAGTGGAACAGGGGGAGGAAGGATGACTCCTTCGCTTACTCATGTCCCTAATTTCCATCAACAGATTCCACCTCGTTCTTTGAAGTGCCTAAGCACTTCTGATGCTGGCACTGATGCCCACAAGAACATGACTATAACTTGTTCCAGTCGCCACAAAATCCCAATCCAAGCTTACAGGGTACCTATGTCTTCAGATACATCGGTGTAGCTGGAGTCTTCCTCTCTGCCCCATCACCCCAAGCCTCTCCCATAGGATCAGCCTCGAAGTGTTCACACAGTAACCGAGAAACTGGCGCTGGCACACAGAAAGGAGTTCCTGAGTATTGCATAATTCCCCTTGGCTTTTGTAAATACAAACTATGATATCCACAGAGCCCTTTATCACCTTGAATAAGCAAGTCATATTTAATGCATACCAGAGTATAGGTGAGGGCTAGATAGGGTAAACGTACACCTGTGTAAAGAAGTCAGGACGTGTCTGCCTGCCGAGTTCGTCCGATCGTCAGCCTTGCATGGGATTTCGGGTGAATTCTCAATTATGAGAACACAGAGCGCTCCCCAGCACCGCCGCAATCCATCAGCAGCCCGTTGTTACCTTACCCTGCAGTCCCCGCTCGTTTTGTAAAACTATCTTCTACCTCATACATCTCACTTCTCACATAAACTTTTCTGGATCGAGTTTAGGAACGGAACTGGTTAATAAGCAAATACACGCAAGACCTCTGTCACGACAGGCTCGTTTTAGAGAATTAACCTCCCAGATCAACTTGACACACGCGTGGCCTGCAGAACCCGATATGAAACGGAGAGTTAACAGGAACATCAGCTACTCAAGCCACACCGAGTCACCAAGCACAGCTAAGAAAGATTTTTTTTCCAGGCACAGTAAAGTGCAGTTTTCAAGACTGGATGGTTATTAATCCTCCTCCTCCTCCTCCCGCTCTGGCTGAGAAAAGGAGGAGACATTTTACCCTGTGCTTTTTTTTTTTTTTTTCCCTTTGGTTTTTTAG